AATTCAAATCATTAAATGTCAACCCAATGATCTAAGGACTAAACACCACTGATGGCAAAGAATCGTGGTTGTGAAGCATCTGAAATTGACTAAAGTTATAAATTCAAATCATTAAATGTCAACCCAATGATCTGAGGACTAAACACTTGTCTTGGGGCCTGGGGTCACGCATTCTATCTCCTATATAATCGTCTATGTGGACTGATGGAGCATTCAATTTTAGGACGAAACTACTGACAAGTGATTTCTGGTTTTCAATAACTATCTTGCTAGATTCAGCCAATGGTGCAAAATTTTGGAAAGAATACATTACTCATGCTATTTTTATTTATGTTAATATAGGGGATTTTGAAATTAACTTTATTCGTAAATTATGCAAATTTGTACCCCCTATTTTTCCTTTTTGTTTTCTAACTGAACAGCTTCATTTCAAAGTACCACAGGTACGCTTTCCTAACTAGAGCTGAATAACCCAAAACCTACGTCCAGCGTCCACTGTCGACTACATTTATTTGCCTAAAATCTCAACATAGTGTATGGAATGTCGAGTATTGGCCACACTTCAAATTAGTCAAATATGATAAATATGACTTTGGTTACTTACTAATCAGTGATCAATAAATTTGGTATTGTCCGAATTTGGATTTATTATCCGTCTTTTTCTGTATTTGAAATATGATTCCATAATTCACATCCAAAAATTGACTTAGCTAACTATAAGATACGTTTATATCGAATTTTGGTGGATCACGTTGTTATATTGATTCAACAGAGAAATGAGTGACAAATTAACTGTACTCTCAATAAAGTATACAATTTATGCATTAATAAATAAGACATGAATAAATTTACACACCAGATTTAGGATTAGAGAGATGTTTAGTCAGAGGTGTAGTTAAGGTTATAAAATATGTAGCTTTTCTAATAGTTTTTAAATTTCATTACTAAACTAGCAAAGAAATTCAGTCTTTATAACATATAGAGCTATAAGTTTTAAAAACATGTTAGATATATACTTGTCGAAAGAAACTAAGTGCATGGACCAATTTGTTGAAATTGAAAAATTGTTCTAGTTAAACCAAGAACAGCACACACATTAGTCCCCAAATGCCCCGGTACAGCTGAGGGTGGGGAGAGTGAGCTCTCCACCTCCCAAAGGAGATACTGAAAAGTACATTATAAGCTAATGAAAAAAACCTTGCTTCGGTTTGGGCACCCTGACAGTTTTCCAGCCCTCACGTGGCGCATATCAAGTTGGGGCCTCCTTTTACCAATGTTTATGTGTTTAAATAAATAAATAAAACAGAAAAATATGAAATCAATTATGCCATGAATTGTTTTCTCAGTTCCTTATGACATAAAACAGAAAAGATTTGAATAACGTGAGGTTTGGCTAATTATTAATGGCTGAACAATAAGTTTAGGTTCGAATCTCGCGGTGCGTTATCGTGGATGAGCACTGTTGAGGAGTCCCACAATAGGACAAAACTGCCGTCCAGTCCTTTCAGGTTTTCCATTGTGGTCTAGCTTCAGTCGGCTTATGATCTCAACTATTGAAATTTCTAAAAATCTCCACAAAACCCCTTCTGAGAATATAATGATATTAACGATTTTTAGTGGTTCATTAAAAAAAACAAATACTGTGAATGAGTTGATCGGATTCTTCTATTGTTTCTTATCTATCTATTTTAGGAAAAGCCAAAAACAAACTCTTCCATAATAATGATAACTAGAAAATGTCAAAAATAATCATTAATCCAATTCAAACTCATGTAATCAACTATGACAAACACTTATCTTACAAAGATACTCATAGATACTGATGGATTGAGAAAGCTAAAAAAGTCTTTAGTTGTTTCTTTCACTGTTTCTGTGTGATCAATTTCGAACATCTGTAGTTCATATTCAAATGTTTCACACTAACTGTTTTCTCATTACACAGTCATATCTTCAATAACATCCTCAAGTAATACATTTATATACAAATAATTACTAATGAACAAAGCACATCGTGTAACACAACTGTTTTGAGTAAATCAGTCAATGAAAAAACTAAATAAATGTGAATTTGTAGGCATGAAAATCAAAGAATGAATGAATAAATGAATAAAAGAAGGATTGTGAATTTTATAGATAAAGAAATGGAGCAGTCAATAGAATTGTGCGACTAAATTATGCAGTAAAACTAAAACTGAAGTGTCATGGATTACAGAACACTGGTTGTTAACGTGTAAGGGATTACTGAGTGATATACACTCATGCTTCTGTTTAAGTTCTCAACTTGGGAATTCTAATTTCATGTCTAACAATAAATTTAGGTCAATTAATATGGATTAATTAACCCCGACTTCTAGCATCGCTTAATTCATGTGTACTGAAAATACCTTCTACTTATATCTAAATATATAATTTTTCAAATTAAGCAAATTGTAGTGACTAGTTTTGAATTAAATATACTTGGTATTGACAGTATCAAATAAGGTTAAATTTCAAAAAATGAAAAACGTCTCATCCATATGATATAAATAATTTTATTTACAAATAAAGTAGCACTTCTAAAGTCATTAAGAATTTTCTCTCTGTGAATACGTGATGTTGACCCCTTTAAGTCTAATAACATTTTAATGAATCTAATTCTGACAAACTTCACAATCGGTTAAATTACTTTTTTAGTATAATGAACGAGAACACTAGTGGGGACAATCGAATGTATTTGAACACAAAATTACAGGACATCTTAATAAAATCTGAAAACCATACAGTAAATTGTTCATTTCCAATATGTTAATCATTTGTCTTAGACTTCATCGTCTTTTCATTCACACATCAATTATTCTCTGTCCTCATCCTCTTTCCTTCTATCTTCATAACCGTCTGCCTTCAGATATTTCATTTTCAATTGATGACATATACTACTTATATCTGTGGACATCAGTAGCATATATCACACTAGAATTCTATTAAATAAAAACTGTTTTTTTTCAGTTAATCGAATTTGTTACAAGTCAGAAAATCATCCTTTAGGTTAAAATAAACATACAGTATCTGATATATATCAATATTTCTTTTAACATAACATAATTTCCGGTCGATAAATAAATTACAATCTAGAGTACTTTAAACTAGAAGAAATAACAAACAAACTGTCAACTATAGGATTGTCTAATTTAAACTGACTATAAATGTTACTCTTTTTTGATAAATTATTACATAATCTAATGATTAAGTAAACCAGTGGAGTTCAACCAGGTGTGTTGTGAGATGGTAACTCACTGAAGTCTTCGTGGATTGGTTGAAAATAGACATTAACACCAACGGATGCCAGCTCGATGGTCTAGTTAGTTAAGCGCCTGGCGCGGGACTGATATATCCTGGGTTCGAATCCCGCGGGGTGCGGGGTCGTGGATGTACACTGCTGGAGAGCTCCATGCTAGGATGAAACTGCCATCTGGTGCTTCCAGGTTTTCCATGGTGTTCTAGCTTCAATTGACTCATGATTTCAACAAGTGAAACCTATATATTAACTTAAATCTATTCAGAAAGCTATACTGGATAAAATAATTACTTTATTAAAATTTATGGTTTGATAATTTCAAACTCATTTAAACATTTAATTTGATCAAAACTGCTTCCCATTTAGTATTATGATGTAATGAAGTCAATTATTATTACTATTATTATTATTATGTAGGAATTGACAACTAATAATCTCTTGACAAATGTATTCCTCATAATGTAAAATATGTTAAACTAGTAACAGAATATTTTTTCATTGGTTTATTCACGATTAAAACTACAATGTTTCTAGTGAATTTGTTCTACTACAATATAGTACTGTAGTGAACAGAACACGAATGAGGACAATCCACAGGACTTGTTAATAAAATCTAACAATCAAACAGTACATACATAATTTGTAAAATGTTCGTCAATTGTCTCTCAATGACTCAGACTTCATTGTTCATGCGTTTACATACAAATTGCATTCCGTTTCCATTCTTTACTGTTCGATCCTCTTGTCACTCTTCTGTCAAACATTCTGTTCCTGATTAACATCATCTACTACTTATGTCTATATAGGTAGTACACACCACAGTACTTGTACAAATGTTTTAAGAAAGATAGTCAAAAATCTCTTTCTTATTTATTTATTATGAAAAAATACATATATATGTGATATACGGAAATAATGTGATAGTTGATAGTCATTTTTTATATTATTTCCTGAATTAATATTTCATTAAAAATCATTTATAATATTTTGAATCAACTTATTCTATAATCGAATTCAAGATGATTTATAGATGATGGAGAAGATTTGTAGCTCACGTGGATGATTTTAATGAAGAGTTTCTTTTTGCTTTCGAAGTTGGATAGTTTGGTCGAGCAAAAAGATGATTTATAGTTTGAATTTAAGTATAATTTCTCTACTGAAGTTAACTGTATCATGAAAGTATTATAATGTAAGAATTTTTTTAGTCTGCTTTACTAAGCATAAATTGATTACATAATTAAAAGAAGTTAGAAAGCCTCAATAGAATCTGGGCTTTATTAACCGAATTTGATTACAAGTAGAAGAACGAGAAAAGGGCGCTAAAAACTTATATCAAATCATTAATGTTTAAATGTATTGTAAACATAAATAAAGACATAACTGAATACAATATGAAATTTGTATACCTTGATAAATTGATAATAAACTAGTAAATAGATAACATGATCACCAATATTTTCGAAATATTTAGCAGCATTTTAATCATACAAAATTGTACTTGTAAATTTTGATCACTTATTCTATATATGATCGACAATTTATGATTCTAATCATGTTGGATTGGATTTGGTAGATGCATTATTTACATCAATGATTTAATTAGAATAAACAACATATCATGTCTGTATCTTGATCTTGGTGAGAAACCAATTCAGAATGCGCAAATCAAAAGTTTATTAGTTAAAAAAAAGACAATCGTAGACTAGGATGAAAAAATATCGTAATATTATGAAAAAGGAGAAACAAGCACTAAGTAACGACGAAATCGTTTTTTAAGACGATCCAGAATGTTAAGAGCTATACCATTATTATTATTATTATTATTATTATTATTATTATTATTATTATTATTATTATTAATATTATTATTAGTTGAGGTAGATGACATCTTGAAGAAACATTTTATACGATGATAAGAATAACGGTTTCGCATATAACAACAGTCAGAGTATTTTCGTAAATTATGAAAACTATATATTAAATACTTCATATGCACATGTTTGATCAGTTGTCTTTTACATCCTTTATGATCCGTCCACTTCTCAATTCTTTTATGTTTCCCTTTCTGTATTTTTACAGTTCAATATTTTCAACTTATTTTTTTGATAGGCATTCCACTTCTGATCGCTTTTACATACTACTTATGTAGATAGACATAAGTAGCATACACAACAAATTAACAATTACAAAATGTCTAAAGGTACATTAGTAAGAATAACAATACAACTTTGAATTTCTACTCATTACATCTTTTTTTTAAAACGATATTTTATTTTGTGAAACAAAGACGTATGAATGAAGTACAAATTCATCAACAGAGTAATAACTATATTCTCTGTTTGAGACTAACAAAGTCAGAATAAATGTTATTTTACGTCATCATTAAGATATAATGTTGACAATAATGATCGATGCTGTTTACTTGTTTCAGTAGTATAAATAAACGGTTAAAAAGTTTCCAAAAATAATTCCTTTACTTAACGCTATGAATAGGCCTTTGACGACAAATATCATGGTGCCAAATGATATAAACAGCAACAAAACCTATATTCAGTAAACAGATGTTATGTGCATAAAATATATATGAATTGAATTTTATTTTTAGTATAGATACATTAATTTCTTACTAAGTTACTAATTGATCATATGATATGTAAATTAGTATACTACAAGTCATACACAAACTGCAACTGTAAAGCACTAACATTAATGAAAAAAAATTCGAAGTGTTTTTTATTTATACTAATCTTTATAATAAGTGGATTAATTAGATATAACTTTAAAATGAATATGAACAAGGACTATAACTGATATTTATGGGTGTATTACTTTTAGATTCAGTAGTTGTTTTAAACAAAGTAGATAGATGTAGGTATCACTACCAAGTTTTGACTTGATAATTTCGAGATTAGAATTTAAACAGAGGCATGAGTGTATATCACTCAGTAATCCCTTACACGTTAACAACCAGTGTTCTGTAATCCATGACACTTCAGTTTTAGTTTTACTGCATAATTTAGTCGCACAATTCTATTGACTGCTCCATTTCTTTATCTACAAAATTCACAATCCTTCTTTTATTCATTTATTCATTCATTCATTCTTTGATTTTCATGCCTACAAATTCACATTTATTTAGTTTTTTCATTGACTGATTTACTCAAAACAGTTGTGTTACACGATGTGCTTTGTTCATTAGTAATTCTTTGTATATAAATGTATTACTTGAGGATGTTATTGAAGATATGACTGTGTAATGAGAAAACAGTTAGTGTGAAACATTTGAATATGAACTACAGATGTTCGAAATTGATCACACAGAAACAGTTGAAGAAACAACTAAAGACTGTTCTAGCTTTCTCAATCCATCAGTATCTATGAGTATCTTTGTAAGATAAGTGTTTGTCATAGTTGATTACACGAATTTGAATTGGATTAATGATTATTTTTGACATTTTCTAGTTATCATTATTATGGAAGAGTTTGTTTTTGGCTTTTCCTAAAATAGATAGATAATAAACAATAGAAGAATCCGATCAACTCATTCACAGTATTTGTTTTTTTTAATGAACCACTAAAAATCGTTAATATCATTATATTCTCAGAAGGGGTTTTGTGGAGATTTTTAGAAATTTCAATAGTTGAGATCATAAGCCGACTGAAGCTAGACCACAATGGAAAACCTGAAAGGACTGGACGGCAGTTTTGTCCTATTGTGGGACTCCTCAACAGTGCTCATCCACGATAACGCACCGTGAGATTCGAACCCAGGATCTGTCAGTTTCACACACGAGCACTTAACCACCAGACCACCGAGCCGGCATCAAACGGTGTTAATGTCTTACCTCAACCAATGCACGAAGTTGCACCACTGTATACCATTTTATTCAGTGAGTTGATGTCGGCTCACTTGTCTAATGGTTAAGCGCTCGCGCGTGAGACTGATAGGTCCTCTGTTTGAATCTTGCAAGAGGTGGAATTTCGGATGCGCACTATTGAGGAGTCCCACAATAGGACAAAACCGCTGTTCAGTGCTTCCAGGTTTTCCATGGTGGTCTAGCTTCAATTTTCTTATGATCTCAAATATTGAAATTTCTAAAAATCTCCACAAAACCACTCTCTCGAAGAATTAACTTTATGGTTCTTAGATTTTACTAAGATATTCTGTAATTTTTTATTCAAATACATTCGACTCTCATCACTTATGTTCTTGTTCACTAAAGTATTATATCGTATTACATATATACAATGTAGTGTGTAGTTTATCAACAATATGATATTAATTATTTTCCTTACACAAGGATGTTTTCATTCGCTACATATTTTATCACTTAAATAATTCGTTTCTTCTTAAAAAAAATCTATAAATGCTTTTATTAAATCAGTATGTTGTACCAACATTGTTCCAGGTACCCTATATGAAATAAACATGGGTAAGTTACATATTATTTTTAATTAAGTTTTTAATCCTATCGATTTTACACAATTATTAACTACACTATGTATAATATATGTATATATAACTTTTAATTAGCTAATCACTTTAAATTGTGCTGAAATTGAACACACTGAACATGAATAATCATGATTTGATTTTATTATTATTATTTTTTAAAATCTTTATTGACTAAAATTAAAACAAAAGATTAGATTGTATTTTAATTCACTGAAATATACACTAAACAATTTAGTGTTCATAGGTAATCTCTGATTTTATTCTTAACATTAAACAAACATTTGAATATCTTATTTATATGTTTGATAATAAATTTGATTTGATTTTTTTTCTTTTAAAATCAAGTACTTTTGAAATATGTGTGTTATAAATTGTGACCGCCGATTAGGGAGCAGTGACTTATCGATCGGATCAAAGACGCGTAAACACGTGCGAGCAGTCTAGAGTTCCGATTGGATCTGCTTTCCGCCTAGCCCAGCCATATAAGTCCAGAACTTAAGTCTCAGCCTCTGCGATATGAATCATTTATTTCAAACATACTCGATTTATATATCAACCAGACAGACCACAACGTACTATAAAATAGAAAATAACATTTGTATAATATTTGGCCAACAGGAAAATGACACGTGAAATAAAAATTGACGAATAGGAAAATGATGACATTTCAAGTCCAAGGATATCATTAGACTTAACAGGATAATTTTTGGGATATTTTCCTGAATATCCCGACAATGTGTAGACTCGTTTGTTATTAAAATACGAACAACAGAATGAAAATGATTTATCACAGTTTGTTTAATGTTTTTCTTTTTTCAAGTTTACTAAAGTTGAAATAGGGTACGTTTTATTTGTTCATAGAAAACAGAATTGCGTAATCAAGATTACCAAGGTATGATTTATTAAATATAGAATATGTATGATGATTAGGAATATTTGAATGATTGTACGAATTAAGAATCTTAGAAATCATTCAATTTAAGTAAGAAGAACTAGATGAGAACGAACGAAGATATTGTATTTGGAATTTGAAATCAAGTAGTTATCAAGTTACAGCAGCACACATGTAACTACGTTTGTTCACAATTAATTTAGTCAAGCCCTTTTGTTAATTTATTTAACGGAGAAAGTCATTCGTACACTAACAACTTATCTATACCATTGGACCTTTATTGTTGTTGCAGTTGCATGAGTATGTATGCTTGAGCATTGCTTACTGCCTACGCATATATTCATTCTACTAGCTTTACTGTTAGTCTTGTAATTGATTTGTGATTCATTCATTTCCCTATGTCTGTTATGTACATTTTAATCATGTTCATTGACTCGCCGACTCGCTCTCTTGCTCGCTCGCTCACTCGTTTGCACGCTTGCTTTTCAGTACTACTCTTTCATGCTTGCTTAGCGCATCAGTAATTTTTGTTATCTGTGCGTGGTGCAATAATAAACGTTATCAACACTTCGTATTCTCTTTCCCATTAATGCACCGTTGAGGCGTTATCTAGTGACGGTTATCAGGACGAAGTTTAAGGATTATATTGAATACCGACAACCACAAAGAATAAAGGAATCATTATTTCATACAAACATCACAATATGATAATCGAAAGAACGCTCATTCAATGAAAACTCGAATGTCACTGTATTTGCTTCAAAATTTTTTTTCGTTAGGTGGAATAAAGGATTCAACACCGAATATCTATGGTATCCCATTATATTACTACGAATTTGAATGTAAAGATTTAAAAGCAGTAATTAAAAAGCTTAAACTTCATGGCTAAGTAGAAAATCAACAAAATAAATGCATTTCATTCAATAAAAACGAAAAGGTTAAAAACGAATAATTGAAATAGTGTTTTGGTCGTTTTACTAGGTAGAAACCCAAGTGTTTATTTTTTACTGACTTAAGTGGCCTAAATACGATAAAGATATATCAGAAAATACTATCTGGATAGTTCAATAATTTCATTTCTGATTGTTTGCTTCCAATCATTCCATATTTTATTTTGGAACTTTTAATAATGCTTCAACTATCTTCAAATTTCGTCAGTCAATAATTAACTTCTTTAAATGAATTCTATAGCGAGCTAAACAATGAGTGATATATTTCAGAATACGAAAATGTAAATTTTCGGTAAATATCTCACCACTTCATGCTATGTTTGAGTCACCTTCAACAAACTTCAAGTTTAGGTATCATGAACACTTGATTATGAACGGATCAATTTAAGTAGGTAGTGTTACGTAATCACTTGATGCAATTAATCGTGAGCTTATTACATTTTTAATCTCTATACCTTGAGCATAGGCTAAAATGATTGGATAGTGACGATGAAATCAAAGGTTTGCAGTAGGCCCATTCAACTGCTGTATTATTTGTTTGCCCACTGTAATTTAGACACTTAATCCACTCTGTCAATTTCTGTGTGAGTCTGATTGAGCACATGTCTACACATCAACTTTAGTCCATTCTCCCA